TTCTGGTGAAAACAATAAAGGGTCTCATCAGCAGAATCCAAGAACTTACAGCATTTGTGTAACCGACAACCGCAACAGTAGCTAAATCTTGACCCTCTATTCTGCCTCGTCTCTTACGAGCAGCACGCTGCAATGCTCGTGTACGTCTGACCTCTTCAATTTGGGACAGCAAATTCTTCCTCCGTTCCATTATTCTGATATCAACCAGCCTCATAGTGTGAGATGCTAAGAAGAATGGTCCAAACTCCTAAGACATAGACATAATGGTTCATACCTTCTCCTTTGAAGTTGAAGCTCGGTTTCTCCAGCACCACTAATGAAACCACGTCCCCCAGATCCTCTCCTGCACAATTATCATCCATGGCCATGAAGAACTTTATCAATGATTAAGAAACTGGTCCATTGTATAAAGACAAATGTAAGATGAAAAACTCACCCTCTGGCACTGACAACTTCAGCTTCACCAAATTGTCCAAAAGTCTGCCGTCCATCGGGACCACGAACTCGAACCAGTCTGCTGCTTTTGTACATCAGAGCGGCTAACTCTGCCTGTAAAAGGGTTCCATGATAAACCAAAAACATTACATCAAAGGCATTCAAGAAGTTACCCAAATCAATCTTTACCGTACAATCAGCCATATTACCTGGAGCTTAGCTTCTTTTGTATGTGCATGAGCATTAAATATTTCGATAATAAGACCGACACGGTCTAATACAGGTCTTCCCCATGCTCGCTGTCGATCAGAGAAAACAAGACAACCACAGTAAATTAACTCAGAAACATGAAGTCAAATCTACTAGAGAAAGGGCAATCGTAAAATGAAGAAGCTTTGGCCTAATGGCGCCACCTCCAAATTCCTCTGCTGAATTCCGGTCAAAATGGCGTTAACGAAAACAGCATCAACTTCTTCCTGGTCGCAGGAAAGCAAAGATTTTTAACAGCGGAATCAACTCTTCCAAACAACAAAAGAAGAGATTGGTTAATGCTTTGAGACATTGCACAATAACTTAAGCGAGTCTCTTGCCTCTGAGTCGGCTGCATTTAGATGGCATTTGATGTTCTCTACTGTCCCAGGACCGAAGTACGTATCTAACCATTAAAACCATTAACCATCAGTGTCCGACCATCTATCTAAGCCCACCAACTTCCCACTAGAATTCTTGGAAGAAATCGAAAATGCCAGGAATTGTCCAACGAACCTGCGCGGGGTTTAGACGATTTAAGAGCTGGGTTTTGGACAAGAGCATGAGGAGGCAATTCCTTGTCGAAGAAATCAGAGTCGAAGTACCCATCTCGCTGTTCTTCAAGAGAATTCGCGAGGCAAAGTGCTTCGTTCAGCTTTGCCTGCAGGAAATTAGGTGGAACCAGACGAGGCTGGACAAGGAAGAGCCTAGGCGGGCTCGTTGGGTCTCTGTTGAACAACGAAACGGCGTCGCTTCGTGCGCCTTCTTCATCGTTCCCCTTAGAATGGGACTTGGAAGACGAAAATGGCGAAGAAGAAGAAGAAGAAGGAGAAGACCATTTTGGTAATTGGGTGATCGGGTTTGTGGAATTGGTGATGAAGCCGACACGGTTCCGCGCGAGAGACAGTGATCTGAGCATC